CGATTAACTGAACTGTGGAAACTTACTTATCTAAGAGAGTAGTGGTGAAGTTAGAACAGAGGTAAGGAAAAGTGGGCGCGAAGCCTGATCCCCACAAAACTATTTAATACCCTGTCCCTTACCAAATGGCTGTGCTTCTAGGCCAGTGTCCTTAGGGCTAGCGATGTATGCACAAGATGGCCAGCACATTCCCCCTCCTCGCAATACAGTTTGCAAACAGGGCTTAACTCCAATCCAATATAGCTGACAAGGGGTGTTGGTGAGGGTGTAGTCAAATATCCTCTCAGTTGAACGCAAACGAGCTGACTGGAGCGGTTGAATTGTTGGGCTTGCAGCACCAAATACGTTGTAATGACCTGACGCGAGAGGTTGAGTGGACGACGTCCAAAAGGAGAGATGGGTTGAATTATCATTTGGCGACCAGTTTAGCTCTTCATTTTGGTTCAGTGGAAACCTAAAGTGCGGTCTTTGTACTTTTGCTGGGTGATGTGGCTTCCGGCCCATGCCTATAGTTCCAAGCCCTTCAGAAATGCATATTCTGCCCTGGTGCTGTGTTCTTTAGCGTTCATGGAAGTCCAAGGAATCTACACTGGTAAGTGAACACTAAAAATAGTTCAAAAATCAATCCAATTCCCAAGATATTTCGTTAACCTTCGAAGAAATCCCCATATCTCGTGCAAAATACCCTTGTGATAGCACTAAAAAATCTACTTTCCAACAGTTAATGTTTTCTTAGGGGTAAGACTACCAATAGGGAATAAAAGTCGGACTTCCGCATGAGTTTTATCTATGCAGGATACACATAATTTTAGATTTTATCGTCGCTGAAAGATCAACTACACTATCAATTCAGGTGTTTGCGTTTTTCTGGTCAATCCTATCGCCCCATTCGATCGTAGCTAGTTTGCGTGTTCCTTTGATGATGAGACAATGCGCCCAAAACTTCAAACGTACGCATTAACAAGGTGGTCGGAAAAACACAAATTGAGACTTCCAATCCGTTTGTTGCTTACCTATTAAATGTTTTCGAGCTGTGCCTATGTGGCTGGGTAAGTAGAATGCATACGAGTAGGTGTTTTTTGAGTGGATAACTTATGGAGATCTGCCAGCAATGCTGGACGATCAAAGACGCAAATGGTTTATTGAGGGTAAAAATTTTGGCTGGGTGTCTTGAAATGCTTAAACTGGATGTGGGCGCCCGCCTTGTTGGACTCAAATGAGTTACCGCACGAAAATAGGCACAACTCATGCAGGTACTTAGTTTGTGTCCCTCCGTACACTTTCTTTTTGATTACCCGGACTTTGAAGGCTCGATTACTGTGCTTCCGCTGTGCAGCATGGCCTCCAGGACATGTCAGCGACCCCCAGCCATTCTGCACAGCTGCAATATCCATTATGTCTCCTTTTGTCTGCGCAGTAAACAAACTTGAAGGGTTTTGACATTTAGCATCCCAGAGAAAACATTTGTTATGTAACCCCTCTTTGTGACGTTTTCCCGGTATTGAGGTAGGGCATCCTGTTGTTGTAGTTATAATGAGATACATTTATTTTAAAGGTTTTCTAATTTCCGTACAAAACAATACAGCGATATCTGCTTGACGTTTGGTTATTCATTACCGACTCAAGTCCTGACCCTATCAGTCGCATGAAAGGGGTGGGTGTAGATTTTGACTCATAATGCTACTGAAATAGCCAAGCAACCTGAACTCAACTAACGGGTTTTAGTCACCTCGGTAGAAGTTACTTACAAAGAGAACTTTAAGCCTTGACTTTATGCATTGACCCACATATTTGTTACTGGGGCCACACACAGGTGACATGTGTTCTTTATTCGTTTGCGTTGAATATCTTCATCGGAATAAAACTACAAAGTGGATGGAGTATGCATTTTGTTAAAGAGAAAAGACATTTTAATTTCTGGAGCAACAAATGAATTCATCAAAAATGATGATGAACGCCATCTTATAACCTAAAAACCTATAGGTTGCGCAGTTTTACTCACTCCCGAGACCATCTTCGCAGACGTGCAAGTTGTAACTTCTTTCGTAATAGATAACTAAGAAACCGACTTTAAACATGCAGGGTTTAATTACGTGAACTGTTTATTCGAGATGACGTCAAGTAGCGCGTCACGTGGAGGAGGACGGCGTCACTGCCCCTCACCTGAGCCTTGCATCAGGTATCGCCCTTAATTAGGAACTCACACCAATGAGAGACTTTGCGATGGCTTCTTGAAAGCTAATCTACCCGTTGCAGTGAATAATTTCATGTAGTTTTTAAGTCTCGAGTTCTGGTCTGCCACACGGCTGCGTTACCTGTTGCAAACTATGCTGCCTGCAATTTCTCAACTGCTGCATCTGAGTCCTTCCTGAACACATAGCAAGGTGGAGTTTGAATAAAACCGTGCTTTAGACACAGAGAAATCGCTATATAGCCGATGCAGTGATCGAGACACCTTGGGTGCAGTATCATGACACAGAAATTGTAATATTTTTTTTGTTTTAGTTGATAGGTACATAAGCAGGGGATTTATGCAATCCGTTTGTAAATAGCCAACCTTCACCTAGCTACAGAACATGACTGAGAAGTGGTTCTCACGGCGGACTGCCATCTATCTATACTTAATTTTTTGCCTTGAAAAATTATGAATTGCAGTGACTGTTAAAGCTCAGCCACCTTAGGGATGGGTGGATACATAGCATTGCGAATGCAGTTTGATACCCATTTACTTAGCATATTCCCACATCTCTTAGCAGTGAGAGGTTAAAAAAGTTATAGGTTTACGAACTGCAGCCTGCCTATTTAATTTCCATTGTGGGAGAGAGAGGTGGAGATCATGACTGATGCAACTAGTTGCAGTCACCTGGTGCTCTCCTCATTCTAATGACAAAAGACGTGTTATTGAATGACTGTTTTGTCTCTGGTATTTTATTAGCAAGCCTTTGGATAATGTTTTGGAGTAAACTAAGTGCAGCCGTGTGTTTGGCGCTAAAGTGAATCACAGGTCTCGGCAAGCTTCCCTTCGGTTTACATCGTATCATGCCAATCTCAGGCATTCTGATTTCAGCCCTTCTCTTAGCTTTGGTTTTGCGGGCAATTAAGGTCTCGTTTTTAACTTTCCTGGATGAATTGGCCTGTAATTCTTGCCAGTGTCTCCCGGCTCTTCCCCACGTCGGTAATACATATTCTGCCTTAGTGTTATGTCTCTTTACATCTTC